TTATAATATGCATCTGAGAGGTATATGTGGAAATGGAGAAGGATTATGCTTTGATAAAAACCTAGGATTGAAAGGGAATTAGGCACCAACTGTGCACATTTACATGAACTACATGAGGGAGGCATAGGTGGTCCAGTGGTAGAATTCTCACCTTCCATCAGGAGACTCAGTTTATTCCTGGCCAATGCACCTCACACGCAGTGATGCATTCATGTCATGTTAGTGGAATCTGTGAGATGCTGTGATGCTGAACAGGTTTCAGCAGAGCTTCCAGACTAAGACAGGCTAGGAAGAAAGACCTGGCCATATACTTCCAAAAATCAGCCATTGAAAACCCCATGGGTTACAATGGTCCAGTCTGCAACTGATCATGGGGGTGGTGCAGGACTGGGCAGTGTTTTGTTCATTTGTTCATTTGTGCATAAGGTCGCCGTGAGCCAGAACCAACTTGACAGCAGCTAACAACACTATGTGAACCACAGGTGTTTTCCAATCCCCTCTTCATGCATCTCCACACGTCTGTCAGCAGTAGTACAGAAGCCTCCAAAAGGCATGGCCAAGAGCATTCACTCAGTTGCTTTGTTTTGTTTTTGCTAGGAACAGCTCTAAGTCTAGGGCATCAGAATATATTTATGAGCTTAACAAGACATGTTTGTTTTAAATATATATTCAAAAAGACCACCATAGAGCAACCAGTAACTCTTGTTGAACTCAGTGTTTTCTCTGGGAATAAACAATGGGTCCAGACAGTTTTCTTCAGAGTCTTTCCATGGCGCCTGCGTCAGGATCACTATGGGTGATTCTTTAAAATGTAGGTACCAGGGCCCCCTCCAGACCTAGGGCATCAGAATCTCTGAATGTGATGAACTTCTGAAAAGCTTCCTAAGTGATCAGTATGTATGCTAAAGCTGTTGAATCTTTGGCCACCTAGAAGAATACAAAAAAAAAAAATGTGGTTGGCTGAAGGACAGAAGTGAGAGGGAGACTTCCCACTGTAAACCCTTTTCTATCTTTTGAATTCTGAATCTTTTCATGAACAAAACGGAAAAAAAATAAAAGCATCATACTTACATTTGTACCCCCAGAACCAGGCAGAGCATCTTGCACATAGCAGCATGATCAGGAAAACATCTGTGGGATTGAACTAATCTGCATGGTCCTGAATGGCATAATTTATAATAAATTATAATTAACATACTTTTTTTATACTCTTATTCCCTCTCCGTTTCCCTCACCTTCTCAAAAGAAAGACAATAATTGCTGCATTGCTGCATTATGAACTGTTTTTGCACCAGGACACGTTTTGCTCCTTATTCTTCTTGGTAGTGATTCATGCATTCCCCATACCTGGAACTTACTGGATTTGCATGGTTGGGGCTGAAAAATGTAGATAAATCTTCCCATATCTTTCTCTTAGCTACAATTTTTACCAATTATATCTGTTTCTTTCTAATGAGTACCAGTGTGTACGGTATTTGACATTTACCTTTTGCCTTTTACAGAAAAAAATACCATAAATAAGTATCTTGTTATATATGTCTACGTCTGTTAGGCTAGGAAGGATTTTTTTTCAGCTGATAATAAAGTTTATACCTTTGGTAGTGTTTATAATGATTTGAGTTTTAAGCAGCTAATTAGTCTTTTTGGTAACAGTTAATTACTTTTACCATGCTGATAGAAAAAAACATTGTTGTAGAAATGCAATTGTAACTTCTTCCAGTATTTTTCTCCTCATTGGAACCTCCGTGTATAATACAGATAATTTATTTTGATCCATTCTATCCTTTTTTTAAAAACCTCAGTTGAGAAGCATTTTAAAAATGATAAAGGTATCCCCTTTATGAAAAAACTAATATTTTCTCTGAACTGACAACCTTTACAGGCTTTCTTCATTTCTTTCTATAGTGTGCAGAAGTTGTTGTAAGGTGAAGAATTGCCAAGAGACGGAGTGACATTATAAATGTCATAGGTCAGAACAGGGACAAGGAAGAAATGCTTGCAACATTCCAGTTATATATTTGTTCTTGCTAGTCCCATTGCTTGTTCTGCATAGTTTCATAACTTAAAAATACTAAAGAAAACTTGAAGAGGTTCCATATTAAACAAAAGATATGTTATATTGCAGGGCAAGAGAGAATATTGTGATTCACTAAAAGAAATAGTCTTAAAAGACATTAAAATGTTTTATTTCCTGGCAAATTATACTCCCTTTGGTCTTGTATTCCTTTAGAAGCACAAAACAAAATCCCAGGCTTGAGTCTCAACTTTAAAAGTGGCATGAGGTGGCATGCATTAGGAAAGAAAAAAAAAATCACTTTGAAATAGCCCTTTTACTCATAGTGCACTTTGCATTATGCTAAAGTGGATATACAAAAACAGAATTGAAAGCCTGGGAAAGGTTCCATGCTTGCAGGCTAAGAAGCTTTTCTTTGACAGGAGTAAGTTCAACACCTTGTAAGTATCATCTCGATCCTTACAAATCAGGTTGGGTTTCAGCAAAAGCAATGTTATTAACTAGCTCATAACTCATTTTGGGTTTCCTCTGTCTATCAGAGAAAGTGACTGTTTTTACTTTCTATAGTCATGCAGTTAGAAAAGTAGTACTCTGGTTTGATTGTCACAGAATATGTTTTCCAAGGTGGGAAAGAGAATTCAAAGGAAGGTCAAATGTGTTAGTATCAGAAAGTCACACAGGACCTCTAAGTTTTCGATTTTCTTTCCATTGTAGATATTATTCAAGTGAAATGTGGACGCACATGTATCTATAAATCTTTCATAAAAATAAAGCAAGAAATTTGAACTAGTGGCTAACCAGGTTAAGAAAAAAAAAATACATATGTGTGTTTATATATTTTTACATTGTATTAAAGTTTTTCTTTTAAGAGAAAGACATCTTGAAATATTCTGCTACACTGAAAAAAAATGTGGCATATAAAACAAATAAGGAAAGACTGCCTCTAACAGACAGTATAAGAGAACTTACAAATTTAAGTATGATTTTCGTAAGTTTCTCAATCACATGTTGTTTTGATAAACTTTGGAGAAGAAAAGGAGGTGGAGGTAAAAAAAATAAGTCACAGAATTGAAGTGACTGTAGAACATACATAACCAGGTTAAATTTTAAAAGTCTCATTTTTCAGAAAGACCCAAAATGGTATAAGTGTTCCTTATCAAATCTATTACTGTATCATTCTGCTGGGAGCTACTTAAAATCGCCCTCAGAGTATTTTGTTTGTGAAACTTCTAAGATTAATATCTGTTCAGGCAGAGTGAATAGAAACACAATTAAATATTCTAGATTACAGATGAGGCTTTTCATGGGAAAGCCCAGCAGGATTTGTTCCATAGAATACAGGCTTTTACTATTTCTTCTTATTCATAGTCGTAATTTTTTTTTTGATTCATTATATCAAATCTTAATATAACCTTTTTTCTCATCTCTACCACTCTACCTCATTGAATTTTATTTAATATTTCTTTCAACCACTTAATGAGTGAACCTTTTATATTCATTATTATGATGATTATAATAACCATTATTACTATTCATTCCCATAACATTATATATTTTAGGAAAGTGCTATTATCACATGAATTATTTTTATGGTTCTTTTTTATGGTAGCATAAATGCCACAATGATTTTCTTTGCCATTGAAAATCTCACGCAGAAGAATTATTTCTGTTTGTCAACATCTGACCGACAAAAGTTATTTGCATTCACTTAGAGCAGTAGCTTTAAAAATGCTCAGTGCACATCCCAGATCAATTTAATCAAACCTACTAATTGAAATTTATTTTACTATGAAAAGTTCCCCACATTTGCTATGATTTTTTTTTCAATGCATGAATTCAGTCTTGCTCAGGTGCTTCCATAGAAGAGTCGATTTTATCTATCTAAGCATTGAAGACTATATTTGAAGGAGGTATAAGATATTGGGAATAGTAAAACCTGTTGCCATGGAGTTGATTCTGACTTATGGCGACCCCATGTCTGTCAGAGTAGAACTGTGCGCCATAGGGTTTCCAAAGACTGATTTTTTGGAAGTAGATCACCCAGCCTTTCTTCCAAGGCACCTCTGAGTGGACTTGAACTGCCAGCCATTCAGATAGCAGCCAATGCATTAACCATTTGCACCACACAAGAACCCCAATATAAATATATTCCCAATATATACATATATTGGAAATGAATATGGAAAAATGTTTTGAGACTGTTATTGATGGAAAATGGTTAATGATTACTTCAGTAAAAACTCAGGCCCCAGCCTGTTGTCATTGTGGCCTCTAATAAATGCAAACCAGAGGTCACTCAGTTAATGTTAATAATGACAGTTCATTGAATCTTGAAGGACTAGATTACAAGCTGAATTAAGTAGATTGAAATTAAAATTCCAACCTCCTGGAACCCTGATGCCTCAAATGATGAGTAGTCCACATATCATGAGGCCATTATGTGTTGACGTTGTTGTTGGGTGCTATTGAGTCAATTCTGACTCATGGCACCCATGTGTTACAGAATAGAACTGCTGTGTAGGGTTTTCTTGACTGTAATCATAACAGAAGCAGATTGCCAGGCCTTTCTTCCACAGTACCACTGGGTGGGTTTGAATTGCCAACCTTTAGGCTACTAGTCGAGCACAAACCATTTGCACCGCCTAACAACACCTCTAGGATGTGTTATTCAGCTGCAGTCTAGTTGCACTAGCGTCAGTATATGGCAGCTAATAGGTGTTTGACTCATTTTTTGTAATAAAATATATTAAAATTTCAAGAAAAAAATGCTCATCAGATCATGCTAATAATATATTCTCTACTGTGCATTCATATAATGAGAGTATTTGAGGTATGTCCAAAATCCCGAAACTCTTCATGAATTGAAGGCCTGGGCAGACTACTTAGTAATTAAAAAAAAAAAAAACTTAGCCTTGCTGTGATTGCACTGCCCCCTAGTGTTAAAACAATTTGTATTTACAGCGCTGTTCATCTTTGCCTTTTTCAGATCAGCATTTTCATGACCCATTTGTCCAACTACGGGAATGACCGACTGGGGCTATACACATTTGTTAATCTGGCCAACTTCGTTCAGAGCTGGACCAACCTACGACTTCAGACTCTGCCTCCACTGCAACTGGCTCACAAATATTTTGAGCTCTTCCCTGAACAGAAAGACCCTCTCTGGCAGGTAAGACTGGATCAATAATTTGGAATCATTACTTCATTAATCCTACAAACATATCTTGTAGTTCTGTGAGATAATCCAAATCAGAAAAGTAAAGCCATCTTTTTAAAAAAGGTACATTTTGGACATGTTAGTAGATTTGAGAAATTACTCCTTACTGAATTGTAGTCTTAGATTGTTTCTACATACTGAGCAAGATTCTCTGTTCCCATGCCCATAGAAATTATAGAATTTGGAAATCTCAATGCACAATCCAGTGGATATAATGTTTTCAGTCAAGAATGAGAGCTCAATTTTCAGACTGTAAGAGGCTGAGAGGATAGAAGACAGCGGGGTGTGTGTTAGGAAGGCGGCCAGCTGGTAAGCCTTGAGCACATCCCCACATCTCTAATGCCAAAACTACATTAGAGGGAAGGGTGAGAAGAGTTCAGAACTGATATCCACCTTTTGAACCACATGAGTGGAAGAATGTGGGCAGCTTTTGAAAGTACCAGCTGGGGATTAGTTTGAACATGGAGTAAGTGTTTTGTAGTAAAAAGACTAAGTTTCTTAAAAGAAAATTGTCACAAAGATATGGCATATTCAGAGTATTCTAGGGTTATCCTGGAATTCCAAAGGATTGACTCGTGTCCTATAAGTTCAGGTACATACTTTGAACTTAAATTGCCCACTCCATGATCTGGGAAAGTAATATTCTTAGCAAATACTTAGATAGTGTTTACTATGGGTCCGACTGGACATTTTACGTATGTTAATTCGTTTAATGCTCACAACTACTCTATGCGGTTGGTACAGATATTATTCCCATTCTACAGATGAAAAAAGCTGAGGCACAGAAAGTCTGAGCCACTTGAACAAGGTCACACAGCTAGTATATAGTAAAATTAGGAATCAATTCCAGACTGTGCTCTTAATCACTGTGTAAAATGCTACAGGAGAGTCATTGATGGAGTTGATGGTAAAACAATAACAATCTTCAGTAGAACTGAGTAAATTTAACAGATGGACATTGCGGCAAACTGTCTCCATTCTTTAAACTTGGGTTAATTACCTCCAGAGCACAAAAAGATAACCTCAAGGAGGGAAATAACTGCACATTTTAGCAAAGTCAAGTCAATGATTATAGACTGCATGTTACTTTTCAGTCATTATACCAAGCATCTTTTAATCTTACCCACTACAAAATACCATCGATGTTAACCTCTGGAAAGACATGCAGTTTTCCTGCTAATTTAATACCTTATCTTTAAAATGAAATCATTATTATTTCAGGCAACAGGATTGAAACCAATTTTTTTTTTCCAGGACAGTAGCCAAAAAGAATACCCTCACTTCATTCTGAGCATCTGTTTATTATTCATTCTTAGCAGAAGGTTTATTTAACTACATGTATCTGCAATATTAATTGAGTAGAAATAGAAGGTGGTCCCTTTTGACCACTCCGAAAATAGCAGTAAAGGGTACTGTAATTCTTCACTCTTTTCTACATAATGTGCACTTCGCAGTTAGAATTAAAGGGTGTTTTCAGATACATCTTGCACAATGTGTGTCAGTTCAAGTACTATAGATCAAAAGCCGAATCCCAGAGGTAGTAATTCACCCTCATTTTGCCCTTTTGCTAAAATTCAGTACTTTTTAACATCACAGCCTGTAAAGTTACATTTTTAGATATACATTTACTGACCTTTGAAGGCAGCTGAAAGGAACCAGCTGTCTCTTTAAATAGTATTATTATGACCAGATCCATATCCCTTTGAAGCACAGCAGGAAAGCTCAAAGTTACATAGAATGAAAATGTGATACCTAATATTTCACTTATTTATTGAATGCTGAGAGTGTGTCTTCTTTTAGGTTAGCAGAAAACACAGTCTCTGCCCAGCAAGCTCACTATTTAAAAAGAAGAAGGAAAAAAAAAAAAAAAAACTAAGACATAGAACTACTAGTAGTAGAAAAAAATGTAAAACTCTCAGCAGCATGAGCTGTTTACCCATGGTGGAAACGCCTTCCCTCCCCCACCTCCTCTGTAGACTCAACTTCACGATGGAAAGGAATGATTTGAAAGCTTCTTGGATGCTATATCAAGGCCTTCATTTTTAAAATGGAGCCACGTAGCTTTGTTTCCTGGGATATCTTTTAAGGGCAGAAGTTGAAAAACTCTAGCACGCAATGGACACAGTCACAAAATAGATAAATAAATCTCTATATTCTTCTCTCGTTTAGAATCCTTGTGATGACAAACGCCACAGAGATATTTGGTCTAAAGAAAAAACCTGTGATCGCTTACCAAAATTCTTGATAATAGGACCCCAGAAAACTGGTGAGAGCTTTTTATGTTATGATTAACCAACTAACCATGAGCTCTTGTCACAGTGAGTTCTTACACTTCCTAGAAGTGCTGATAAAAAATAACAAATTTTGTGTTCAGACATAATCTTTGCTTAGCTCAATAATGTACTTAAGCATTTGTCAAAGTGTTTTTTTAATTAAGGGAAAAGGTCAAAAATAGATGTCACATAGGGTGAATATTCAGCAGGAAATTCTGTTAGGAATTTTTTTTCCCCAAAGATCTTAATTGAAAAGTGTTTTTATTAACATTTCTAAAATCAAAACTAATCAAGAATTTAGAAAGTAGCTGACAGGATTTTGTCAAAAGTCAAGGAGGACAGATATAAATACCTGTAACTCTTTATAATAAATCTCTTCTAGAAAAAGAGCTTCTTAAGCTGCCATCTTCCTGATACAGTTTATTTCTAAACTATTTCTTGCAGAGATGACTTTTTTTTTTAACAGTCTAAAAGATGTCTGACAAGCAGAATTCCCAGACATAAACAAAACTTTGTGCTATGAAAAGTATTTATCCATACCCAGGAGAGATCTTCCACACTGATTCTTAAATTTTTTTTCCCATAAACTTCTTGTTTCTGAAAGAATCAATATTAAAAGGAAGCCCAGTGGAAGTTTTAAGACACCAGACATTCATGCTGTATTCCACATGATAAATTATTTGGAGCCCTTAGATTCTGGCCTCACAGAAAACAGCCATTTCAACCAGACCCCTTCCTAAGGTGAATGCATTCCCTCTCCTCATCTCTTTAGAAATGACTAGGAATAATTCTGTGTAATGTATACAAACTTTAGCCCATTTCATTTTCCATTAGTCTCATTTGCAAATATCAATCTGAAAACAATAATAAATATGACAAATCCTTTTCTTGTCCTTATCTGTTTTACTTTTCCTTATTTATTTAAAGTCAAGAGGCAAATGGAAAAACATTTAAACTAAAGTCTCTTCATCAAACTCACACTGCCATCGCATAGCCTCGCCGTTACTGATCACATCTGCTCTCAGAAGCACGCGTATTCTGTGTATCAGATTTGCTTCAGAAAGCCCTGCAGGATATGCTCCCTCCCTTGTTGTGTTGGATATGCAGACATTTTTTTAATATCACGGTTATATGGCAGAATTATTACTTGTCATCTTATGCTCAATTGAGTTTCCAAATGTTTATGTTACAATTTGTATATGACATTTACCTTTGTGAGGGATTTTTTTTTATCTACTTCCTATAGAAATTGGATTTTTTTCCAGCTTTATTGAGGTATTAATTTACATGCATTAAAATTCACATATTTTCAATATACAATGATATGTTTTGGAATTGTATGCAGTTTGGTAACTACCACCAGAATCAAAATACAGAGAAGTTCTGTACGCCTAAAAAGTTTCTCCATGCCCTTTTGCAGTGGATTCCCTCCCCCACCCCCAGCCACAAGCAACCACTGATCTGCTGTCTGCCACTGTAGCCGGCCAACTAGTTGCCATCGAATAAGTTCCAACTCATGGCAACCCCATGTGTGTCAGAACAGAACTGTGCCCCATAGGGTTTTCAATGGCTGATTCTTTGGAAGTAGATCACCAGGCCTTTCTTTCAAAGCTTCTTTGGATGAACTCAAACTTGCAACCTTTTGCTTAGCAGTTGAGTGTGCTGACTGTTTGTACCACTCAAGGACTCCTCTGCTACTATAGTTTTGTCTTTTCTAGAATTTCATATGAATGAAATCATAGTGTGTGGTCTTCTGTATTTGACCTCTTTCACTTAGCATAATGCTCATGGGCTTCAATCATTTGGTTGTGTGTATCAATATTTTGCAAAATTGATTCAATTGGACAAAAACATCTCCTTAATTCCACGAGAATTAAATAGCTTCATTTTTAACATTAGTTTTGTCAAAAGTATATTTGTGAATAGTTTTGTATAGACTTATAGTAACCTGGTTATTCAAATATTTTTCAGTGTTGAAACTGACAAAAATATAAAAGGTGAAGCTTTACAGACAGTTATTTCAATGTGTCATGTCTGTGATTATGTAGTTGAATTGTTGTTGCTGTTAGTTGCCCGCCATGGCTCCGGTCAATGGCGACCCCATGTATAACAGAATGAAATGTTGCCAGGTCCTGTGCCATTTGCCACCGTTATATACAAGACAGTTTATTCAGACCCAATACCATGTGAAGGTAAAGATAGAATTCAGAACCCACTACATAGTTTTTTGACCACTGATACATTATGACTTTTACTGACCATGCAAAGCAATTAGATCATATTGGTTTTTTTCTGTTTGTCTAATTAATGCCAGACATGAAAGGCTATTAAAAGCAAATAACATAATTTAATACCATTCTTAAACATGAAATTCAGAAAAGAATGTTTTCATTTATGTAAGAAAGGAATTAATTTCTGTTTCTCTTTTCACACTATAATATCCATACTTCTTTTCCCCACAAAGATTTATTCTTTTCAGTTTTAAAAAATGCCTTACTAAATTATATCTCAATAAAGCTGTAATTTTTTAAAAATACCTTACTGAGATATGAAGGGGGGCACTATTTAGGTACTTTGACATAGGTTATCTTACTTGACCCTCATAAAACCATGATACCCAAGTTTTTTCTTCCCCATTACACATAAAAAAACTAAGACTCAATAGACATATGCACACCCATGTTCATTGCAGCATTGTTCACAATAGCAGAAAGATGGAAACAACCTGGATACCCATCAACAGATGAACAGATAAACGGATACATACACACAATGGAGTATTACAGAACAATAAGGAACAATGATGAATCTGCTAAGCATCTCATAACATGGATGAATCTGGAGGGCATTATGCTGAGTGAAATAAGTCAATCACAAAAGGACAAATATTGTATGAGACTACTATTGTAAAAACTCATGAAAAGGTTTACACACAAAAAGAAATCTTTGATGGTTATGAGGGAGGGGAGGGGTAGGGGGGTGTAGTGCTGCTGTAACAGAAATAGCACGAGTGGATGGATTTAGCAAAGAGAAGTTTATTCTCTCACAGTCCAGTAGGCTACAAGTCCAAATTCAGGGCTTTAGCTCCAGAGGAACACTTTCTCTGTTGGCTCTGGAGGAAGGTCCGTGTCATCAGTCTTTCTTTGGTCTTCCTTCTCTGCGCAGGAACCTCAGGTCCAAAGGACACGCTTTGCTCCTGGCACTGCTTTCTTGGTGGTATGAGGTTCCCATGTGTCTCTGCTCGCTTCTCTCTTTTATATCTCAAAAGAGATTGCATTAAGACACTAATCTTGTCAACCTCATCAGTATAACCTCATCACCAGTGATATTTTACAACACATGAGGAGATCACATATAATCTCATCATAGTGATAGAGTTTACAACACATAAGGAAATCACATCAGATAACAATACTGGGAATCATGACCTAGCCAAGTTGCTACACACATTTTTGGGGGGACACAATTCAATCCATGATGGTGGGGGGAAGCACTAAATAGACAATAAATAAGCGGTAACTTTGGTGAAGAGTAAAACAGTATACAATCCTGGGGAAGCCAGCACAACTTGTACAAAGCAAGGTCATGGAAGCTCCATAGACACATCCAAACTCCCTAAGGGACCAAACTGCTGGGCTGAGGGCTGTGGGAACTATGGTCTTGGGGAACATCTACCTCAATTGGCATAGCATAGTTTGTAAAGAAAATGTTACACATTCTACCTCGGTGAGTAGCGTCTGGGGTCTTAAAAGCCTGTGAGCAGCCATCTAAGATACTCCACTGGTCTCAACCCTTCGGGAGCAAGGGAGAATGAAGAAAACAAAATATGAGGGAAAGATTAGTCCAAAGGACTAATGGACCACAACTACCGTGGCCTCCATCAGACTGAGTCCAGTACAACTAGATGGTGCCAGGCTACCACCATTAACTGCTCTGACAGGGATCACAACAGAGGGTCCCGGACAGAGCTGGAGAAAAATGTAGAACAAAATTCTAACTCACCAAAAAAGACCAGACTTACTGGCCTGACAGAGACTGGAGAAACTCCAAGAGTATGGCCCCCGGACACCCTTTTAGCCCAATAACGAAGTCACTCGTGAGGTTCACCCTTCAGCCAAAGATTAGACAGGCCCGTAAAACAAAATGAGACTAATGGGGCACAACAGTCCAGGGACAAGGACTAGAAAGCAGGAGGGGACAGGAAAGCTGGTAATAGGGAACCCAAGGTCAAGAAGGGAGAACGTTGACATGTTGTGGGGTTGTTAACCAATGTCATAAAATAATATGTGTACTGACTGTTTAATGAGAAACTATTTGTTCTGTAAAACTTCATCTAAAGTACAATAAAAAAAATTTTAAAAAAAGAAAACTAAGATTCATTGAGGGTAAATAATGTTTTGTTCAAGTTCTCACAACTGGCAAATACTAGAAATAAAACTATTGGCCTTAGGATTGTACCTGACTCCAAAGACCATGCTTTTTTTCACTTTACTGTGGATTTCAATTAATGGAGGTTGGGTTTTATTTATTTATTTATTTTTCCAATAAGTTTTAGATTTTTTTCCATACTTCTTCTAAGTGAGGTCCCCAGACCATAAGCATCAGCATCACCTGGGAGCTTGTTAGAAATGTAAATTCTTGAGCCCCACACGTACCTGGTGAATCAGAAACTCTGGGCATCAGGCCCAGCTATCTGTGTTATAACAAGCCCTTGAGATAAATCTGACACGTGTTAAAGGTTGAGGACCACTATTATAAGTCAAGCTCATAAAGACCATTTTTCCTTTGTATATAAGAGGTTACTGTGCTTCCTGCTCTATGGTTCTCTCTGATGATAGATAAACTGTTCATTGTTTGGCTCAGATATAACCTAGGGGCACTGCCTCTTTCAATTCATTTGTAGACAGTATTGCTGTTGACAGAGTTATTTTACATTTTTTTCTGTTTTATAGATATGATAGATTTAAGTACAATACTAAAGAAAGCTTACCAGAGAGATAAGAAAACTAAAAAATGTGTGAAGATGGCAACAAGATATTATTACTAAGTAAAATTAGAACAGTAATTTATCCAAGTGAGAGAAGTGCAGTATTATAAGGCCATGTCTGATCACCATTGCTAGCTATTGACCTGTGATACAATTAACAGTTCATGCTCCATCAGCTTATATAATAGTATAAATCACATTAGGGTAGAGGAGTGGAAACTAGAGGGTATATTTCTGTCTTAGGGATACTGAATACATAGACCAGAAATATTTTTATAGTATGATCTCATAAACAGTCACAGTTGCAAGCACATAGTTAAATCTTTGGCAAACTGAGATCCAGACTGCCATCCTTTCTCTTGTAGCGGTCTGACTAAGCTACTCCCTTTGGCTTGTAATTTAGAGTATAAAACACTAATTTTACAGTTTATGACATTGCTTGCTTTTAAAAAGTCACACCCTTGCTCCTTAATAGTCACAAATCTATACAATTACCTGTGATATGCTGTTCTTTTTCCAAAAGTGCAAATTTTGTAAGTTCTATTGCTAAGTAAAAGTATGAATTTTTTGTTTAAATTTAGTGATTTAAACAGGTGTGTGTGTGTGTGTGTGTGTGTGTGGTTGTAAGGACTTTTTTTTTAAATTATGCTTTAGGTGAAAGTTGACAGAGCAAATTAGTTTCTCATTAAACAATACACAAATTGTTTTTTGACATTGGTTGCCAACCTGCAATGTGTCAACACTCTCCCCTCCTCTGCCCTGGGTTCCCTATTTCCATTCGTCTAGTTTTCCTGCCCCTTCCTGCCTTCTTGTCATTGCTTTTGGGCTGGTGGGTGAATTGAACTACAAAGCCCATTCCTATACCAAACCCGTTGCCGTTAAGTCAGTTCCAACTCATAGCAGCCCTATAGACCTATCTAATCTTTGGCTGAAGGGTGAACCTCAGAAGTGACTTCAGTACTGAGTTAAAAGGGTGTCTGGGGGCCATACTCTTGGGGTAATATAAACAGTTTTTAACACTACTTTTTATAAGCATATAAGCACATTCAAACTTAAGAAAACTTGCTGAAAGATTAGATTCTGTATTGAGTTTAATAAGCTTTCATAGGCCTCAGCAGGAACTTCATAGGAAAACCCAAGGATCAGTTTGGTAACGTAATACCTCATATTAAATGATGATATATTTCATTTATATAGTGTTTTACTAATAACAAAATATTTTCAGGTACATTGTATCTTTTCATCCTCAGAGAAACTCCATAAATAAGCAAGGCAAGTGATTTTCCATTAAGGCAACTAAGACAAAGAGAAGCAAAAAGCTGAAATCATGGAGCAAATCAGTGGTTGAACTGGGAGCAAAAGCTAGTTTACCCAAACCCTGCAACAAGCCTCTTCTCCCCACACCAAACTCTCTCCATTTTTTTGAATCTGCTTCTTTTAAAATGCTGGCTATCTGGTTAATTTAACTCAAGCAGAACTTATGATGTATCTCTTTATGTCATTGTAATATTTACTTTATTAATGACTTTGAAATGCCAATGCTAAGAAATTATACTTTCATTCAATTAATTTCTAAACTTCTCTTGTCTTTCCAGGTACCACAGCTTTGTATTTGTTCCTGGTTATGCATCCTTCCATCCTTAGTAACTCCCCCAGCCCAAAAACCTTTGAGGAGGTACAGTTCTTTAATAGAAATAACTACCACAGGGGGATTGATTGGTAAGATGGGTTATTAGTATAAATCTAAAAGTATATGTACTGTACACAGTATAAAATTAGCACTAATATTCATAAACATGTTTATATCACAAATAAAATTATTATCTGTACAATGGTAAATTGGTTGAATAACATGAAAGAGCACTGAAGTTATTCATAACAGACCCTTCTCAGTTTTTGAAGGGACTTGTTAACTCAAGAGGCCCACATATAATTTCAGTTGGCATTATTTTTTATAGTAGTTACAGATACGAAGTCAGAGAAATATCTTATTATCCAGGCATTTCATGCCTCTCTATTTTTAAAAAAATCCTCATACTTCTCTTCTTGTACACTTTGCATAAATGTTGCTATAGCCCACATATGTAATTTTCCATTTTGCTTTGGCATAAAAGGTTAAAAAATAAATAAATAAATAGAACTAGAGATATGTTTGGATATTTCATGAATATATTTCTAAAAAGCTGAAAAAAACTATCAATGATATAAGAAATTTAATTTTTGTCCTTTATAATTAGAAATATGTTAAACATCTGAGGAAAATAGTTATCTTAAAATTAAATGTATAAGTGTCATATATACATAAAATATAGCAAAGTAGTAGGAATTGATGATGCAAACTAACAGTCAAATCATAAAACATCTAGAGGTCTTCACATTAAGGTATAATGCTGGACAGAGAATGGCATAAAAGAATGGAGTTGCTGTAATAATTCTAGAGCATGAACATAAACTTTTTGCATCTATTTTAGCATAAAGAGTTGTAGATATTAACATCTATTGTCAAATTGCATGATCTCAACTTTAAAAGTGTCATCCCCCTCAAGAGCCGATGAATGGAAAAGAATTCTGAATGGAAAGATAAAGAAATGGATTGAATATAATTAGACTACCTACTAGGATTACATATATTCTATTATATTTTTCACTGCTGATTCTTCTATACAGTAATTGATATTGATTGTGTGATAATAAATAATAACCACGAGAATGATTAAACCATCAACCACCTAGCAGGTGTTTGACCACTGATTCAAATCTGTAGGCTGGTATACAATAGAATAAAATGTTAATGTAAGGACTAAAGGTAGTGATTAAAAACTGCTTTGGAGGTGAAGGGGAATGCAATACCTGGACTCCCTGGAACTGAAACTGAAGAATATTCATGGGAATAATCTTTAAAAAAAAAAGTACTGATCATAGAACAGTACTGTGTATAGGCACTGTAATAGAAACAAAAAAGTCCCTTCCCCTTAGACAGTTTTTACAAGGAACTGACATAAATAAGCAGAAAGCTAAACAGCAATGAAAGATTTTAATTATAACTAAAAACATCTCTTAACACTTGTGATTGATAACATGTGTTTATAAAAGGCAATTAATAGAAATAACAAATGATAGTAACGGCAAATAATGTCTCTCTGCTGACAATAACTATAGCATTGATGTCAACAAAATCAAATGTATCCATAGTCTTCAGCTGGCTCTGCCTTCCTATGAAGTGTCACCATCTCAGTAGACCCTTTGGGGCCACAGCACCAGAAGGTTGAAGATTGTGTGTTTCGGAGGCCAGGGTCACTTAAAGAATTAACCCAGGCACAGGTAGCTAATCTGGATACATGAATCTGTTTTTTTTTTTTTTTTGAAGAATTGGGTAAAACCAACAGGCAGCCCGGGCACAGGCTTAGGGCACAAGCAAAGTAGGGCAAATAAAAATAAGAAGTGTTTATCTTTGATAAAATAGTCAAGGTGTCTGATCAGAAGATCTGAGAAAAATGTTTGATTTTGGAATACATGTAAACTTTATGCTATGATTTGGTATTATTATTTTTAATTACATTGGGATGCAGTGAAGGGATGGAGTGGTACATCTGAACCAAAACCACACCTGTTGCCGTTGAGTCAATTCCGACTCAAAGTGACCCTATAGGACAGAGTAGAGCTACCCTCTAGGAGGGTTTCCAAGGAGTGGCTGGTGGGTTCGAACTGCCAACCTTTTGGTTAGCAGCCAAGCTCTTAACCACTGTGCCACGAGAGCTCCAAAGTGGTGCATAGAGCACCACAAAATCCTTTTAGCATTTAGAACCTCTAAATGTCTTAATCTGACTTTGAGCAAAATCACTTAGAAATACTCAGGGTCAACCCAAGCAGCAAATAAATGTAGAGTATTGCAAAAAAATCATATCTTTCTAGTAAAAAATTGTCGAGATGTTATGTCTCATGGAAGTAGCAAAGCTTAAGTGATACATGCGTTCACTTTTAACCCCCTAACTGCTATACCACTCTAGTTTGCTTACCGATTCTTTGGATAACCTAAATTTATATTCTCCAAATTTGGCTCTATTTGGGGAGCTTCCAGGGCCCAGTCTGGAAGTTCGAACCTAAATTCCTCTGGTTATTTTCTGGTTTACTCATCAAACATTTTTAAGTGCCTATACGTGCCAGTCACTGTACTAGAAAAAATGTGGGCATGTAGGCAAACAAGAATCAGAACGTTTCTTTCTCCAGAAGCCTCTAGAGCCAGCCAGAATCAACAGGTTATAGGTCCAAGATCCAGAACTGCTTGTGGAGGTTTTCTAGACCTAAACTCTCCCAGGTATAGAGGGCGGCTGGAAAGGTGGGTCAGTTTTTAGAAGCTATAAGCTATCTGATGTCAGCCCCTTTTTTTGTGATTTTTGGAGCCTCTCTCAACAAGCAAGCTTGAGACAAGCTTGGAACAAGTAGGACACCACTAGACACTTGGGATAACTTAGCACCCCTGAAACCAGTGTGATCTTCTATATGAGGCATAGCTGAAAATTTGACACTTCCTGTAAATAGAATGAAAACCAAAACAGAGCAGATCAAACTTTCCAGAAATTTTTGTATATCTCCTTCCCCCTTAAAGGATCCAGAATGATATATCATCAACAAGGCAATTTGCAGAAAACATAAAATGATTTCTTTACTGCTGAAGTCTCAAGACTTCACTTTGTCGTGGAAGCCAAACTTTGCAATATGTTAGCACCTGGAATCCTACCAGAAGCATTATCATGTGAGATGACTAAAAAAAAAAAAACTAACATACTATAAAAAGAAGTCATCACATAAATGTTAATGGATCTTTTGTTCTGTAATTATTAAACTAGCCTATCTTGGTGGCACAAAGTCATGGAAGCTTATGAATTGAAGAAAAGTGGGCTATTATTATAAAATATAAAATTCCTTGGAAGTTAGATTTGTATATTCTCTCTAAAAAGGCCCTTTTGTCTCTAAAAGGTGAATCTTGGCACATCAGAAACATCTACTAACATATGCTGAATTAGTTATATTTGACAAATGTTGTACAGGTGGAACATTAAATAAAATCAGTTTTATTTGAATCCCTGAGTTTATCCCTGTGTTCACTCTAACTGATGATTTAAATTCTTACCACACTTAAAGATACAGGACCTGACCTTGGGAAATTTGATGGGATTTTATATTTGGAAATACTTATACATTTTTAAAATTTTTCTTATAATTATTCTACAAAAGACATAAGTGGCTCTAAATGGAGAAAAAATTAAGCTAATACATAATGTTTACACCAAAGCTATTCTGCACTTTAACACTTCATGGTTAATTATAACATCAGCACAACACATTAGTGGGAATGGAAACGATTTTCTTGTGATGAAGCAAAAAATGCTTTGTCTAAATCCTTTTAAAATACCTTTGAACTGAACACCGTCTGTTTTTATCAGATTTTCTTTTTTGTTGACACATTTTTCTGTGTTCTGTATTTCTACATCTAGATATGTTTTATACAGTCAGATTGATTATTGCAGTTTGATCACTGTGTGTCTACATTTTTGTTATCTCCCAGCCCTTTTTTTCCTGATATTAAGAAAAACCAAAACCAAAAAAAAAGGATTTAGAGAAACATTTTCATAATTCAGTATTAGCATTCTGGACAATTTTCGCTTGCGAATTACCTGGGACGAATGCCTTAAGGGAAAATGCTTTTGTTTAGGGGAAAAAAAATGAATTTGTCGGATACATTTAACATCTTCAGTTACCAGGACAAGGGTAAAAACCAGTCTTACTTTGAGAAAAATGTTCCTTTCCTAGGTATATGGATTTTTTCCCTGTTCCATCTAATGTCACCACTGACTTTCTGTTTGAGAAGAGTGCCAATTACTTCCACTCAGAGGAAGCTCCTAAAAGAGCTGCTTCCCTGGTCCCCAAAGCCAAGATCATCACCATCCTCATTGATCCATCGGACCGAGCATACTCCTGGTACCAGGTAAGGAAAGTACAGACAGAATCCAGCAGGAAGAAAGTCTTATATAAAAAGGGAGTGTGGAGAATGAAGGATGGTTTTTAAGCAGTAATCACCTCCTCAGGATTATAACAAAACAAAAGTTTGCTAGTTGTTCAGTAACTGCAGAAAAATGGATGAATTTGTCTTTGTTTCTATGGAGAAACTAATTGCATTTTTTCTTAATGCAATGAACAAATTAAATTAAAATACAATAAATAAAATATTATGTAGTTGTATGTATGTCTGTGTAGTTGTATATCAGTGCTTCTACATATCAGCATTTTTAAAGTAGAATATTGTGACAATTAAGTCATTACTTTTCATCTAACGCGTGTAATGCTGCTATTATTCGTCTCAATTTTACAGATGAGGATTATGATTGATTCTCTAAAACAGAAGATGGCAAACTTTTTATGTAAAAGTCCAGATATGAAATATTTTAGGTGTTGTAGGCCATCTGGTCTCTATTGCAACTCTGCAGTCGTAACACAAAAGCAGCCATAGACAGTATGTAAATAAGTAAGCATGGTTGTGTTCCAATGAACCTTTATTTTCAAAAACAGGCAGCAAGCTGAATTTGGCCCGTGGGCTATAGTTTGCCGACCTGTGCTCCTTTGTTGTTGTTGTTAACTGCATCGAATTGGCCCTCTATTCATGGTGACCTCATGCACATCAGAACAAAATGCTGCCCAGTTCTGAGCCATCCCCATGATCGGTTGCAGATCAGACCACTGTGATCCAGGCCAATTTTCAGAAGTAGATCACCAGGCCTTTGTTCCCAGTCCATCTTAATAGGGAAGCTGCTGACCCTTGTTCTGAAAGATCTCCTGATGGGGCAATGATAAAGCGCTTGGCTGCTAACCGAAAGGTCAGTGGTTTGAACCCACGAGTGGCTCCACTGGAGAAAAGACCTGGCGACCTGCCCCCATAAAGATTACAGCCTAGGAAACCCTATAGGGCAGTTCTACTCTGCCCTATAGGGTTGCTATGAGTTGGAATCGACCTGACAGCACACAACAACAACAAAAACAGTCAAGAAACATCTTAATGACAAAGCTAAATGTAAGACTGCTTCATCCCTGAAAGCCTAACCAGTCTAAACCCTGATCTAAGCCTCTTTCTTAAACATTCATTGTCATTATGTTTCTGATTAGAAATTAGCATGGAAACAATCACTATGAAATAATTTAAGACTCTAATAATAATATCTATATATCAAATACATTTTTAACACATCATTAGAAATAATACCAAAAAAATTTCTCAGTGATATTTTCATTACCAAATGGAAAATTTCAATAAAAAGCATCAAAATAAACATGAGAGCATAACAAAATTAATGGAGTAAGTGCTTGTAGCCTCTAGGATCCTTAGTTATCATGCCTCAGTATTATAATTTAAAACACACTTTCCTAATGTTCATGTGTTTATCCATTCATCAGATAATTTTAATGCCTACTGTGTACAAAGTAGAGTCCCGGGGTGGTGCAAACAGGTAACAAGTTTAGTTGCTAACCAAAAGGTTGGTGTTTTGAATTCACCCAGAGGTGCCTCGCAAGAAAGGTCTGGCGATCTACTTCTGAAAGATCAGCCATTGAAAACCCTATGGAGCACAGTTCTACTCTGCCTACATGGGGTTGCCATGACTCGAAGTTGACTTGATGGCCACTGGTTTTTGGTGTGCAAAATATTGTTCTCAGATAAATATGGATACTACTTTCAAATGTGGATGCTACTTTTTGGGAAATACGTATAAATAGCAAGCATACAAGTTAGAAAGTCTTAAGTGACACTTGAGATACAGGCAATGTGCTGTGGGAGTTCAGAGTGATAAAGTCCATCTGATAATGACCACCAGGGACAAATCTCAGGACCACAAGTTAGGTTTGTTAACTGGCACAGCAAGGGAGCCCAAATACCAGAGGAATCATGGGCATTTCCCTCAAGGTGGAAAGAGACAGGATTATAATAGGAATTATGAGGGGAGAAATTTCAGTAAGATTAAAATGAAGGAGTGTGTTGAGAGGCACAAAGCAGGGCTATGTGGAAAGGGGTTATCAGCAGGTCAGGGCTGAAAAGCAGACTAAGGGTCCTATTTCCTTGGAAACTATAAAGATAAAATGCAGAATGTTGTGTCCAAAAACCCCTTATCTGAAACTCTGCACCTGGTTGGAAATCAAGCTGCTTCTCTGTTACTGCGCCCACACGGCTCAGATCCTTCAAGCAAAAATGGGATGCTCCATTTTCACTGATACGATTTCCAGCAGCAAAGTTCCTGACAACCTATGATTTTAGAGAATAAGGTTTCTTTTCTTTTTTAACAGAAGCAGTTTTACAGGTTCACAAGAGGAGGAAGAGATTGTCAGGGAAGGCTTCATGGCTGGGACAGAGTGGGGAAGGTCATATGAAGCAGATAGAATCTTAAATAGAAATATTGATAATAATCTGCATAATAGCAGCTGGAGACATCTTAGAAAACTAAAATCCAGGAAAATCCACAATTCCATGCTAATCAATCATGCCAAACTCCTGGAGCCGTTTTTCTTTCATCAGAATATACAGCTATTGCAAATTGATTTATTTGATTTTGAGCCTTTTACTTTTTTCCACCAGGTATCTGGAGAAAAGAGAAATAAACCTTAATTGACTCAAAGAGAAAGAAGAAGATTGGAGCTTGGCAACCACTTAGCCCCTGAAAAATTGAGTACTTACTGAGAAAGGAAGTCTCAAGGCTGCAAGCTAACAAAACGTCCTAAATATTGCAAATAAATTACTCCACCGTGGCAAAATGCAGGCCTTAACAAAGTCTGGTAGAGTCTGTAGAGCAGTAATTTGAATCCCAATTGCAGCAGCTTTGCTATCCAACTAGATGTGGTAAACATCCACAAACCCACCACTAAGCCTGAATATTTATTGGGCAATTTAAGGAAAAGGTGATTTCCTGAGCCCCTTGGGCCTGAGCCTGAGCCATTTTGAAACACTTTCCTATTTGGATTGCTGCTTTCTGCATTTTCTGCACAATAAATGGTTCTGATTCCCCACAAAGGTCACCATGAGATAAGAAAATCTCGGCTTTTAGATGCTAGGTAATATATGATAAAAGCCGTGAATTTCAGATAATGTACATGTCAGAGTTTTCAGTGTTTTCTCCATTTAAAGTACCTAATGGAGCTTTTCTAATCTAAAACTACATTACTGGATGGAGCAAAACTATTTGGCAGAACTAATAGAGTGTTTTGTGCATTATGGATAGTCACTGGACTTAATAAATGGTTTGCTTATGGGCTGAAAAGGGGGCATTAATGCAGCTTCGAAAGTTTACTTCCAGAATAAAATATACACACTAAGGAAACTGGCTCCAAAAAGTTGGTTAAAATTTTCTATCTATAAGAATTCAGCCTCTACCAAATAAGTTCTCAAAATACACTCCCATTAGTGTCGTAACTTCCAATCCTGATGCTCGAAACAAACATTTTCATCCTTTATTAATTGCAGAGCAAGTAACTTTTTAGCAGTGAGGCACTCCTTCCTTTAGCTTTGAGACTTGTCACAAAGATTATTTTTTATTTATGCCTATGATTCCAGTTAGTTTAATTATCCACCTTTTCATCATAGCATCAGCGATCGCATGAAGACCCTGCAGCTTTGAAGTTTAGCTTCTACGAAGTAATCTCAGCTGGTCCACGTGCGCCCTTTGAGCTCAGAGCCTTGCAGAAGAGATGTTTGGTCCCCGGGTGGTATGCCAGCCACATCGAGAGATGGCTTGTTCATTTCCCCCCCTTTCAGGTACTGAGCAATAAGAATTTACACTGTTACAATCTCATTAAGCTCGTAACTTTGCCTCTAGGATAGAGGAAATTTTTACCCATTAAAAATTTACTAGCTTTTACTCTTTAGTTGTAAATAATGAAGACTATGGCAAAGAATAATAGATAAGCAGAGGTGGAAAAGCTATTTAATTTCTTTCTGACAGTATTTCAGGATAATTCTCCTTGCTTTATTTTCTAGTACATATCTTTCCTGATTGTAAAATGCATCAAATGCTTCAGAGCCCTGATACTTATTCTGAGATGAAAGCTTGAAAACCTCTTAACCAAACAAGACAAATCTTGTTTTGCTTAATTATGTGTCATTACTTTCCTTTTAAACCACCTTGTTCGATTTTCCTAATTCCTATGATTTTCTTGGCTTCCTTGTTCTGTTTTACCTGGCATCAACCTAAATTATAAAATCAGCCCCTACAGTGAATTGCATAAGCAATCCAGTCACACCTAATGTGGTGTATGCATGTGTGTCTAGAACCACACTGTCAAATATGATAGCCACTAACCACTTATGGGTACTGACATTTGTATTAAAGCTAAATAAAATTAAAAATTCAGTTTCTCTGTCACATTAGCCACATTTCAGATGCACAATAGCCACATATTAGACTGCGCAAGTGTAGAACATGTCTATCACAAAACTGGACAGTGCTGATCGAGACTAAATGGAGTATTAGGGAACGGTATGGGGAAGGGTTCCATTACAGTCTTTGTGGCTTTCCATCATGGTCCCCGTCATCTTATCTTGCTGGTTCCACTCCTCTCCCTCACCAGAGTAACAGGCAGATGCTTCCTCTTAGTCTATTGAGGAACTTCTGTCCTCACTCAACTTCTCTGAAAGTCTTACCTTCTTCTCCAAATAGATCGTCAAAGCACTTGTTAAAACTTCAGTGTCACTCCTGAGAGGACATGTGACAACTAACATGCCCTCCATCTCGTTACGTTTGGTCTTATTATAAGCTTTCTTCTTTTCTACTGCACTCCTTTCCAGCTTGAATGACCGAATCATTGTTTGGTTTTTTTTTAATCGTGGGTTCCATTTGTGATTTTGTAGTCACATTTCTAAGCTCTCTTGGTCTCCTCAAATGACTGCTTTGTTTTCATAGTGATTTCAGTATTTCTCAGATTATAAAACATGACTGCATTTAATTAGGATGATTTATTTCTTGTTCCAGGTTATTAATGAGGATGACCTGACTAAGCCTAACAGCAATGCATATAAATCCCCTCAGGACCCTGTCATTGTATAAGTTCAGAGTGTAGACATTTTTCATTGTACAGTTAACATGCATTGTTCTTTTTTGTTTATTTCTTTGGTAATTCAGTTGCTAATTGTCGATGGGCAACAGCTGAGAACTGATCCAGCTACAGTGATGGATGAAGTGCAGAAGTTTCTGGGAGTGTCTCCTCATTATAATTACTCTGAAGCTTTAACGTAAGTTCATTTCTGATTAATTGATTGAAGTTTCAACAGAGAACTGACTTGAAAGAAATTGTAGTTTGGTGATGCAGTTGTCAAGTTAGCTGTTTTCTTGTTGTTCTTTTAGGTGCCGTTGACTCAATTTTTGACTCACAGCGACCCCATGTGAGAGAATAGAACTACCCCATAGGATTTCCTAGGCTATAATCTTTACGAGAGCAGATAGCCAGGTCTTTCTCCCATAGAACCATTGACTTGAACCACCAGCCTTTCTATTAGCAGCCAAGCACTTAACTGTTGCACCACCAGGGATCCTACCTGTTCCCTTACCTACTGATCATTTTACAGTTCAGCATTAACCACTTGGGAAGGAATGTGTCAATTGTATGACAAAGAAATATACTAAATCCTCTGTTGATTTCTAACTATGCTCTTGACCCATATCGTGGTACCAGATTGCAAAGATTTCCCCAGAAGGAAACTAGAAAAAACAAAACAGTTGTAAATCTTAAAACCAACAACTAACCCTGAAAGAGGCTACTTGAAATATAAGTTGATAGAGACTGAGCCTACCTAAAAGACGGTATTAAGGCCCCTTCTAAGTATAAAGATTAATTAGATAGCTTATGAATCAACTCCTTTCTCCACTGTGAAACTTCCAGAAATAACATCTTATAGCAAGAAATTGCCCAGTAGGTGACTGGCTAGGCAGAGAGTGCTGTATTGTTATTACTCTCACCTCTCCTTCAGAGGCCTCAGCAGTTACAGGCCTGGTTTGTTTTTCTTTTGCTAGTTCCCTCTGATTTTCTTAAATATTTGACTCTACCAGAGCCAGAACTAGGGTGAGGGGAGAGGCACTAGGGCTCAAAATCGAAGGAGTTACTCACTCTCAGGAATATGCAACTGCCTGATTGTAAGCACTTACTTAAATTTTGTGTCCTAGGTGCCTCTCCTGCCTCACCCTGATCTTGGCTCTGGACTCCATTTAGGATTTTAAATAAGACCTTCATTTTGCCTTGTCCATTTATAATGCTTGACAATCAGATTTATGAGGGTCATGTGTCATGTTTGTTTCTGTCATCCATGCATGAACCAACTAGAAGATACTGAGTTGGATGGGCCATGGATACGACTCTATTATTTTAGGCTTATAGACTGAGCCTACGAAAGACTCATAGAATCCATCCATTGTATTTCTCAGTGTAAAACTCAGTTCTGCAGATAATGAGTTTTCCTATATCAATACAGAAAGTGAGAAGTAGGCTTCCTTTACCTTTCAGCGCCCCTTGCAGTAAGATTGGCGGGAAAACATCAAATATGGCGTATATCTTGTACAGATCATATATGGAGACACAGTAAGTGAGATATTTTTGTTTAGAGGACAAAGGAGTAGGTGAAACTCAGGAGTTTTGAGCTTCCATCCTGAGAGTCATTTACTTTGTTGATACTATTAACCTCTGACCTGTGTGTTTTCTACACCAAGAGTACAGTTAGAGCTTAGTTCAAGTACCAACACAGATACTAGCCTTAGGTATTTAACATTCAGCTTGACCTTAAAGAAAGCTGAGTGATTTTACCTTGCAGTTAGAAATTCAAGTCCACTTTCTGCTTTATATCTTTTTAAGCATCTCTTAGGGGAAAAAAAAGAAAAAACTTTTATTTTCTAAACAGTTTTCTATTTCTGTTGGCTTATCTCTGGGTCTTTTTTATAGAGTATATAGCAAAGCATTGTATTTCAGAAGAAAGTAGTGAAGTATTCTATAAAGACATAATCTCTGTTTTCTTTATGGCATGGTCCTTGACCAGCAAGCTGTGTATTTGTCCCCTCTGCATCCAACTCAGAAGCAAGTTTTTTATTTATATATCAAAGCAATGTGCTATATACAAAGAACTGTGGACCACTTTGCACCTGAGATGTATCTGGCTAAAATTGCCCATTATATGATTCTCTAACCTGGTTGGGGGCTCAATAGGTGAAGTAGCAAGATAAGATATATATATGTGTAGTCCCTGAACCACAGTTTCCCATCCAGCAGGGTTGCCCAAGCCCTCACCCTGCTGATAGATAATGCACTTCCACTCAGTTTCTTTTTATATTTTCTTGTCAGTCATCAGTTGGCCTGGCATGCCTTGTAAAAACCAGCAGTGCACTTGTTGTAGAATATTTGGAAGTTTTGTGTCATTGTCTTAGGACTAAATTGTTCCTCCTTCACCTCATGCCCTTTGTGGTTGTTTATCTCAGTCCTGCTCTCACAGTTTAGTTACTTTTGGTGGAGTAACTCTTTCGATAGTTGCTTCTCTGGTGCTTTGAAAATGTTGGGGATAGCTGTGGGGTACAGAAATGTATATTCTCAGAAATGCCATGTACACCAGTTGGCAAGAGATCCTGTGTACATTTTGGTATTGCCTATTGATTTTCCTGCTAGTGATAGTGAAGACTATCTCTTTGGTGCAAAAAATAAATAAAAAATGTTTAATTTAGAGTCTTCTAAGAATGTTCTGACCTGCAAACAGATAGGAATTCTTAACTAACCACATAAATCCAGTGCTTTGCACTCAGTAGAATGAATGAAATTAGATCCATACAAAGGTTTTACTAGACAATCTTCACGTGAAAAACTTCTCAAATTTAAGAGATCTATAAACTGATTGGAGCCTTGGTGGCGCAGTGGTTAAGAGCTCAGCTGCTAACCAAAAGATCAGCAGTTAGAATCTACCAGCCGCTCCTTAGAAACCCTAGGGGGCAGTTCTACTCTGTCCTGTAGGGTCACTATAAGTTGGAATTGACTCGATGGCAACAGGTATAAACTGATTATATCTAATAATAAATTCCAGTATCAAAATTATTTTCAAGAAGAAGAATAATAAGCTTCCATTGTCAAGTAGTATTTATTCTTTATGTACAATCACCAAAGAAACCGTTCAAGACTTCCAAATTTCATACCAAGTCACTAGATAGTCTAGGATGTCCTAAAAATGACTTAGTGATGTCATCATTACACAGTGACTACAACATTGGACTCAAACATAGCAACAATTGTGAGCAGAGCACAAGACCGGGCAGTGATTTGTTCTGTTATACATAGGGTCTCTGTGAGTCAAAGCTGACTTGACAGCACATAACAACAACAACGTCATCATGGATTTTAAATGACATATTGGATATTTAAGAGAACAAATATGATTTCCTTAGTGAGTTTGAATCTGATTTGACATAAACAGTGTAATCTTCAAACTACATAAATGAGAATTTTCTCATTCAGTTAAGTAAATTAGCATATTACCATTCCAGTTCAACATAATCTAAATCCCTAAATTGTAAGTAGTCTTGATATACTGGCATTACTGTAGCTTTAAGTATTATCTGTGACATAGTTTTAAAACAGACTGATCATTTGAGGGAAAGCAGGAAAAATAATGCTTAGGAAGGAATTGTGTAAACTAAAATGAAAACTTTAAAGCTTGTAATTTTACTATGAAATACATTTATTCACAATTATACCTAGCCATCAATGACCATGGTGGAAGTCTTCACACTTAGAACTGTTAGTCAAACGCTTGAATCTGGCATCTTTATTTTTCAGTAAATTAACCTGTTTAAAATGAATGAAACCAGACTGAGTTGTATGAATTTTTAATATTAATTTACTGTAGAAACTTCAATAAATGGACAATGAGAGTTTGAAGGCCAGGGATTGCCTATAGCTGTGTTTGGTTTTGGTTGGTTGGTTTGGTGTGTTTTGCGGATGAGGCTCAGTTAAGTCATAAAGGACTGACACTACTTCAAAATTCAGAAGGACTTTAGTTGTTTTAATATCACACTCCCTGGCAACCAAATTTAGATTTCTCAGGAATTCTTTCCCAACCCACTTTATGTGAGTTTGAGTCAAATTGTGCCATATTAGAACATTTTTAGAAGCAAAAAATAGTGGCCATGTTGTTCATTGATCTGATACAATCTATTGTTTTGCTGGATGATCTGTGAAAGAGCACCTAGAAATGTTAAGAAAGGAGAGAGACTAGTCTACTCCAATTGTTATGATGAATTTGTTTTTTACAAGTGGTTGTAACCTTTCAAAATCAGTATACATCTATGTGTTCTAAGTACTTTACATATATTGCCTCAAACCAACACTATGTGGTGGGTAATATTTGCTCCATTTTTCAGATGAAAAAACTGGGGCAGAGAAAAATTAAGCCAAAAGTCATTCAACAAGTAAGCTGATGAGGAAGGATAGAAATTCAGTCAGTCTAGCTCTGGAGCCTACACTGCCAAACTCTAAAGTGGCACAAGATATTAGAACCAGAGAAAAACATTACTGTAATTTTTTACTAATGAATAGTATATCAACTGGAAGTGCTTCCTTTAAAAAACTGAAACTAGAAATGAGCTTTTAAATTATCTCAGAGTTTATTATGAAAAGAATCCTTCTCCAGACACACTAAATGTCACATTGCATAATGTGTAATCATAACGCGTTGTCATCTAGTCAATTCTGACTCATGGCGACCCCATGTGTTACAGAGTGGAACTGTTCCCAAGGGTTTTCTTGGCTATAATCTTCACAGAAGCAGATTGCCAGGGCTTTCTTCCGTGGTGCTGCTGGGTGGATATAATGAAAACCATATTGAGGTACCACTACATAACCATTGGAATGGCTATGTACCAAAAGACAAACAATATCAAATGTTGGCAGGAATGTGGCAAAACTGGAACTTTCATGTATTGCTAGTGTGAATGCAAAATGTACACCCACTTTGGAAAACAGTTTGGAGGTTTCTTAAAAATTAAAAGAAGCTTACCATACAACCCAATTCTACTCCTAAGAATGGACCCTAAGAGAAATGAAAACATATATCCATAAAGACTTGTAAGTGAATGTTCATAGCATCATTATTCATAAGAGCCAAAAACTGGAAATAATCCAAATGTCTATCAACTGGTGAATGGATTAACATAACTTGGTATATCCATACAATGGGGCACTACTCAGTAAAACAGAAATGTCCGGAAA